TGATTATGGTTTGGACTCTTCCTCCAAACAATAACCTCCCCCCCACCTAGGTTAGTGTTCTCTACTGTACTGTACTTTGTTACTTTGTTGTTTGTTTGTTACTTTGTTTCAAATTTTTTGTGGTTAAAAAAAGATTTACAGAATGGATTAACCTTATTTACATTGAACCTTATGGGGAAATTTGACTTTGGTCACAACCAATTTGGGTCATGACCAGAGTCCTGGAACAGATTAAGTTTGTGAGCCAAGGTACCACTGCACTTTGGTCACCTAATGAGGAGGAAGGACTCATTGGAAAAGACCCTGATGCTGGGAACAATAGAAGGCAAAAGGAAACAAAGATGGCAAAGGATGAGGTGGTTGAATTGAGTCACTGGTACAGTGGTTGTGGGGTTGGGAGAACAGTAGAAAACAGGAGAGCCTGTGGTCTATGGTGTCATGGAGAGTTGGGCACAACTTTGCAACTAAATAACAACATAGGTGCAGTAGCAAGACTGAATGGGAGGACCCTGAATTAGAAGGGGTTATAGCCCAGTTGTAAACCTGAAAAATAAGTTATGGAGGTGGACTGAAATGCAAGAAGTCTATCATTGCAAATCACAGAGGTCTATCATTGCAAATCTCCTTGATGGAGGAGGAATAATATGGCCAAATGTGTCAACATCTTGCACTTTCTCCGGATATATGTAACTGTTGCTGTCCTGAAAGGTACATTATAAGACAGAGGTGTCTGCTCTTTTGGGGGGACCTAAAGAAACTTTTAAAAAGTCTGTGTGTGTGTTGGGAGGTGCTCTGTAATGTACTCTTGCTTAGAAAAGTAGTGATTTCCTCTCTAAGCATTGCTGTAGCATGGGTTGAGGGAAAGATCCCCAAAGAGGGAAGTTCACTGAACTCAGACATTTTATTTGGACCCAACTTGGGATTGACTGCACAGTGACCATTGGCAATGCCAGTATGGATGGGACTGACTTGATGCAGTTAGGAATAACTGGGAGCTAATTTCCATCTTGCAAGCTGGTGCCTTTTTTTGAACTTGATCAAATTTGTCACTTATGGAGGCACTAAATAATCTATCTCAGTTGGATCAAAAGTTTTTTATTCTTTACTTTGCCTGCTGATGTAGTCCTGAGGTGTAAAGACATGCATGTTTCCTGATGCAGATGGCTGCTGCCAGATTTTGATCTGCAATCTACCATGTGTCATACACTGTTAATTTGCTGACATATTAGTCTGTGCCTCTTAGCTTGAAAAATTGTGCTGAACTTTTTGGTATCTTCAGGGAAATGACAGAATAGAGAAGGAACTGTTGATAGGCTGACATACAGATCTAGCAATTGGCTAGACCTAGCAATTATCTGTAGGGTTAAGACAGTTGTGAAATGCATTTTACAGCCAACAACATTGAATTACTGTCCTTCCACAGTCTTGGAGGAGGAATGTATTCAAATTTTGATTGTGAAACTTTCATATTGTTACAATTTTTAACAGTGTTTGAATAGGAATGAACTGTATTTCTCTTGGAAACTGTTGATTTTGAGATAGGTTGGCAGGAGAATAGAGATTTGTCATGTCTGTTTTGTCATCTTTATTTGGGTCACAGCTGGCAGCATCAGGATCAAAACTGGTGGTGTCATGTCAGTTTGAACCCTTTTCAAAGCTGGGTCAGTGATGGCAGCTTAATGTCTGGAGCAGGGGTCAGCAACCCACGGCTCCGGAGCCACATGTGATTCTTTCATCCCTCTGCTGTGGCTCTGTCACTCAAAATATGCATCACAGCTGCCAATGTGCGACAGCCACCAGCACGCGATTTATTGAGCTTTTCGACCCCTGGTAGGCCAACCATGGATAAATCCAAGAAAAGTTTCAGAAGAAAACAGAATGTTTAATGGTATGTGGACAGATTCATTTGCTTTCACTGATGAGGAGACTGGTTCACCAGTATGCTTACTATGTGGTGAGAAATTGGCAAACAACCAAAAGTCAAATGTTGCAAGACATTTCCAGAATGAACACACAGCCTTTGCTGAAAAATATCTGGATGCAGATGAGAGGAAAAAAGCCATTTTGGAACTGATGTGGAAGGTTGATCTGAGCAAAAATCATAATTTAAGTTCAGCTTTTATTTCATAAATACGAGGGGGACTCAAATAGACATTGGGTATTTTATTTGAAAGGAACCTTCAACCCAGCGTCTTTTTTTTCGAAAATGTTTTTGTTGCATGCAGAAATAAAAATTTGTTTTCTCTGCAGCAGTTCACTGATTTCATAAATGCAACACACTATAGTTTTTTTTTATACATAGCATAAAGGTAAAAAATGATATATGCAGTGTTATCTTCAGTTTAGATGTCAAAAGGGTTTTGTGGCTCCTAGTGTTTTCTTTTCTGTGGGAAACGGGTCCAAATGGCTCTTTGAGTGTTTAAGGTTGCTGATCCCTGGTCTAGGGGAAGGGACTTAAGCATCCTCAGTATATGTTCAGTGTAAAATTCCTGGTCCCCAATTGCAGTGTTGATCTGGAACAGAAGGAAATGGGGAAAACTGTTGGAGATGTTCACCACCAAAAATGGAGTCCAGGCACTGGAGATCATCTTGTGAGATGTATCCATCTAGGATTTGAAAATTCTGCAGTGGTGGCACTGTTGGGATGTCTACCTAATTATTTTGGACCCAACAAAGGTTGCAGCTGGGTGTTGGATTTGATTTAATGAGTTGCCTTGTAATTGTTTTCAGTCTCAAAGCCCAAGTAGTTGCAAGATGTTTCAAACAGGATTTTGTCTGTTTGGTTTGCTTGGTATCAACTGTGGTAATGAAGGGCTGCTCTCACGCTGTGGTCCAGTAAGACAGCCAAAGATATCAGTACTAAGATACCTTTGTACCCATGGAAGGTCCCAACGAAGCTGGTTGTGTAACTGCATCCTTCATGAGAGCAGGTAAGGACGGTAGTGGTCTCTTGCTGACAGTGGTTAAAGTAGTGGGTAAGGGCCTGTTTTGTGTGGCTGAATCTGTTGTGTTCAAGGCTTCTTTTCAGAAGTGGGTGCAGGGGTATGCTGATGTAATCCATTTGACCTGCATGACAAAGGCCTTGAAATGGGAACAAAAGTCTTCTCTGTCAGTAGCCTTTAGACACAGAAAGTATATTGAGCACTAATCAGATGACAGAATTTTCTGCCTGCTGCAGGAGCACTTTATGAATAAGGTCCTGGAAACCATGTGCCCAAGGGGCAAAAGGGGAAGAAATAAATACTCAGAGATAGAAGAAAGGAAATGCCATTGGCCTCAAAGGAAAGAAAAAGAGACAACTGAATATAAAACTATGAGGCAGACCATGTTTCCAAATGCTGCTTGTTGCTGTGGCAGAAAATATGGAATTAAGCTGCACTTGGAGCATATACAGAAGAGGGGAGACTCCCACCAAAAAGCTTTGTTTAGCAATAAAAGATTCTGAATGTTGTGCTACAGAAGTACATAACCCATACGCATGAGTAGCAGTGACCATGAACAACTTATAGGTCCCAACCAGTGAAGACTGGAAAAGTAAGGTAAGCAGAATACACAGTAATGACAACACTAAATGCCTACATAAATAGAAGACTGGCCAAAAATTAATAATAAATGGAAATCTTATTACATATATTTTACTCAATAACTGAGAGAAAAATATAATCTACAGAAATGTTATTAGTGAATTATAATTTCATTATAAATGCTCCTTAATACAAATTTTAAAAAAGCAGATCAGCTGTTTTGGCAGAATCCTTGGAACTGACAGAATACAAAGTCAAGATACAGAAGTATACATAGTTTAAATTGTTTAGTGTTAGAATGCTAGGAAATGTAAACAATAAAAACATAGTATCCAAAACAAAAATATTATAATGTACACATTTGAAGTAAGCCGCCCCGAGGCTTCGGCAAGGGGTGGCATAGAAATGTAGTAGTAGTAGTAGTAGTAGTAGTAGTAGTAGTAGTAATAATAATAATAATAATAATAATAATAATAATAATAATAATTTAAAACCTGTGACATTAAAATGTGACAAGGACAGGAAAAAACATGGAAGACTGAAATGGGTATCAGCATGCACAATATTGTTGGCTGTAAATCTGTCATGCAAAGCCTGATTTAAAAACAAAACAAAAACAAACATATAGGACTTTCATGTCTGCATCTTATAATTCATAACACTAGTCTTCTGAGCTAGTAAAATAATGGTGAACAAATAAAGTTTGTATAAACCCATTTTGTCCTTAAGTAACAGTTAAAATTATTCTAGCCAAGTTCATCAGAAATCCAAAGCCTTTTGTAAAGAAAGTCTTAACAGAGCAATCCTATATATGTTTAGTTAAAATGACACTTATTCCCAGATAGGGGCACATAGGATTGTAGAATAAAAATGAGCTAACAGAGTTAGGAATGAAGTAGCACCACTTCTAAACTAAAGAGTGCTTTGTTAAAAAACTGAATTCTATCAAAATGGTCTTTTGGAAGCTCTGTTATAGACAACAATTGTGAGGTAGCAGTAATTAAAGCTGTAAAAAGAGCTTTTTATGAGCAGATCACAACAGGGTACTTTCAACCCTGCTGATTCTCTTCTACCCTATCAATTCTGTTGCACAAGTAGGAACCACCGGTTATTAGACAAGGGAGTTTCGGCATTTCCAGGAGAATCTGAAAGAAGCAGAAAGACCTGTTTCTCAGGGAAGCAGGTCAGTGGAGCTCACCTGAAGGCATTCTGCCAACCTGACTCTGTCCAGAAACATACATTTCTGCTCATTTAAGGGGATTCCCCTGGGAAGCACTACTATTCTTTGCTTAAGTGGTGAGTTTCACATGTGCAACAGAATTGGCAGGACCCAGTACTTGTGGAATCAGCAGGGTGGAAAGGAGTTGGCAGGAGCATAAGTGCCTCACTGGATTCTTCCCAAACACCACCTACCAAATTATAAACAGTTCAACAAACTAATGCAACATTTTAGTTTTAAGAATTTCATACTCTTACCTGATTACCACCCATTCCATGACAGTTAAAAATCCCAACTTTTTCATTTTCTTTTCTTGCCATGTTATCAAGACATTGATTGGTTTCCACATTTCTTATCTGAAGTCAGAAACAGAGTACACTTTATTTACTATTCATATTTACAGCAGACAATCTGCATGTCACCCTTGGAAATTATAAGTGAGGATGGTGTTTGCATTATTAAATGCCTATTTAGTCATCTTCATTTTCTTCCCTTACTGCAGCTATGAAGAAACAGGAAAATAGTGCATAAATGTGGGGAGGGGAACAAAGGGATGGTATATCCCCAAAGGGCTGAACTCTAGACTATTTACCTACATATAAGATTGAGGACAACAGAAGTTAAAGAAAGGTATGAAAACCTGAGTTGAACCAAACAGAAGAGAAAATAAGGTCAATGACAACTGACTGGTGTGATCCACTCCCATTAAGAAGAGGTACCCTGAAGCATGGCTGTTTAAGATTTCTATTCTGCTTTTCAATTCAAAAATACCAAGGTAGTTTGAACTACATTTTAAAACCATTTCAATTGGGACAGACCACCATTATCCTCTTAATAGGTGTGAGATGATATGAACATAGGACACCAAGACTAAAATATCTACATTGTTCATTAAGTTCATCTACATTGTTCATTAAGATTCAAACTGCCTACCTTGATCTTTAAACCCCTACATGGTCTGTGACCCCAAATGACCCAGGAAGCATAAAATGACAAAGTACTTTAAAACTACTGATTAGGGCCTGCTTCAAATATTGTATTTCTGGAAGCTTAAATTAGCTAGCAGAAAAATACTAGCAGAAAAATAATTTGTTTATGGTTCTGAAGCTATGGAAAACCTTCTCCTGAAAGACCAGCCCATAGTCTCTCCAGCCCCATTTTCCAAACTACGAACAATAGTTTTATTCCTAAGGGATTTAGACCTTGTAACAGGAAGTGTGCTTTTAACAGGGCCTTGGTTTCAAATTAGTCTGCACTAGCAGACTTATGTTGAATCTTTCAACTCCACTGCATTTGCTCATTATTGCTTATGCTAGTGGGTTAAAACATAACGAAACAGATGCTGGATTAAAACAATGGTCTATTCAGTCCAGTACTCCATTAAGAGTGTGGCAAGGCAGTTGCTCACAGGATCCCACAAGAAGGAATCCTGCTTGACTGAATACCAAAATCAAGAATTTGACCTGCTCAAGCTTCTCAGCAACTGGGGTTCACAGGTTTACCATTGCTCAACAGGTACAAGCACTTGCACAACCCATTCCATAATGGATTGTAGAACCATAATGTACTATCACTTGTGCAACTGTGTTCATGCAAATGTAACTTTAGCTGGATTCTTCTCGAGCATAGTTCAGAACCTAGTTTCTGAGAGCAGAAAAGCAGGTTGCTTACCTGTAACTGATGTTCTTCGAGTGGACATCTGTGCATTCACACATATGGGTGCTGCGCCTGCACAGTGCCTAGGGCCGGAAAGATTAGAAAGCTAACGGTTCTTGGCAGGAAAACTCCGCTCCCCTCCCCCTCAGTACTATATATGGAGCGGAGTGTCCGCCATTTTCTCAGTCTTTAAGAGACCGATTGTTTGCCCCCTTTCGGGAGAAAAAATATTACAATAAGTTTAATATATATACCATGACCATAAGAGCATGGTACCGACAGACAAATCCACTCACCAACACCAAGCGGGGCCGGTGGGTGGGTTGTGTGAATGCACAGATGGCCACTCGAATATCAGTTACAGGTAAGCAACCTGCTTTTCTTCGTCATGGCCTCTGTGCATCACACATATGGGTGACTAGCAAGCTTACCAGACTCGGAGGAGGGAGGTGTCATCAGTGAAGAATAGCTGAGAGGACTGCTCTGCCAAAAGAACTATCCTGTCTGGCACGCACGTCGAGGCGATAATGCTTGGCGAAAGTACATGGAGCAGCCCAGGTTGCAGCTCTGCAGATACCTTGAATCGGGATTCCCGCGGCGAAGGCAGATGATGCCGCTACTGCTCGTGTAGAGTGACCCCTCGGAGAGACAGGTAAGGCTATCTTTGCTAGCTGATATGCCAACACGATAGTTTGAACAATCCATTTCGACAGTCTTTGAGATGTGACTGGAGAGCCTTTGTCTTGTTCAGAATATTTCAAGAAGAGGCTATTAGAGCATCTAAAAGACTCTGTACGTGATCTGTAGAACACCAAGCAACGCTGAACATCGAGAGTATGAAGGGATCTTTCAATTGGGTTCGATGGTGATGGAAAGAAAGCAGGTAAGACAATCTCCTGATTCATATGGAATGGAGTGGCAATGTAGGTAAAAACGTCGAATCCATTCGAAGAACAACTTTTTCCTTATGGAAATTCAAATACGGTGGATCTACTCGAAGAGCACAAAGTTGACTAGCTCTTCGAGACGACATGACGGCTATGAGAAAGGCAGTCTTCCAAGATACTAGGCGCAAGTCAGTAGTCGCCAGAGGTTCAAACGGAGGTCTAGTAAGTGCCTGCAGTACAACGAAAAGGCTCCATGTCAGCATAACAGGGCGAAGTGAAGGATGAAGGTTTTGCAGTCCCTTGATGAATCGTCTAACCATAGGTTGCGAGAAAACTGATGAGCCCTGTATCATACCGTGATAATGCGAGATTGCGGCCGCATAAACCTTTATAGTTGAAGGTTTAAGTCCCGAACAATGCAATTCTAAAAAAAATTGTCAAATGTTCTTGATAGAAGCCAGTCCAGAAATAAACTAGTGGCATTCAGTGAAAGATGAGAATCGACACCACTTCGCCGCATAGGATCTCCGCGTTGACGGTCTTAGAGCAGATTCAAGAATTCTTTGAATGTCTGGATCGAGAATGGTCGATCCCGAAATAATTCCCTTCGGGTCCGAGGAAGGAAGCAGCTGTATGGTTCCGTAAGCTGGGGTTTCTGATGCTTGAGATGTCGTCGGTACCAAATCAGTACCGAAAGTCAGCGGATTCACCAAGCTGTGAGATTTAGAGAAGTTAAATCCGGATGACGAACCACTCTGTCCTGTTGAGTTAATAGATGTGGTATTGATGGGAGACGAAGAAATATGCTGTCTGACAGCCGAAGAAGGGTGGAGAACCACGGCTGGCAAGGTCACCATGGAGTTATCAGGATTCCTGTGGCATTGTCTTGGGCTATCTTCGAGACAACTCTCATCAAGAGTGGAACTGGAGGAAAAGCGTAAAAGCTCATGTTGTCCCATGGGATCGTAAGAGCATCTCCTGCTGACCCCAGTCCGATGCCTGCCCTGGAGCAAAACAGTTCGTATACCCTGTTCACATGGGTAACAAACAAGTCCATGTCCGGATGTCCCCAAAGACAGAAGAGCTGTTTGCAAATGTGTCGGTTCAAATCCCACTCGTGAGTTGTTGACATCTGTCTGCTCAGTATATCGGCTTCCTTGTTGTCGGTACCCGCTAGGTGAACCGCCAACAGAATTACGTCTCTCGGGATACACCAGTCCCAAATCTCCATCGACAGGCGGGCCAGAGCAGGTGACTTGTCCTGCCCTGTTTGTTGACATAGAACATGGCAGCTATGCTGTCGAATGCAATCTGGACTACTTGTCCTTGAAGAGTATTCTCAAATGATCGTAGAGCGTTGAAGATCGCTAAGAGTTCGAGGAAATTGATGTGTCTCATAGATTCCTGTCGGTTCCAAGCGCCCTGGGTGCAAAGTTCTGCACATACTGCACCCCAACCAATCAGGGATGCATCAGTGTAGAGGGTTATGGTCGGTTGGGGCGGTCGGAACGGAACGCCTACGTTCAAATTGTCTGGTATAGTCCACCATGTCAGGGAACGGAGAACGGGCAGCGGAAGCCGAATTAGCTTGTTGGGCGGATCCCACTGCGGATGAAACAACTTGCTGAAGTACAGTTAAAGAGGCCGAAGTTGAAGTCTGGAGTACGGAACAATGGCAACCGAAGCGGCCATGTGGCCCAGGAGTTTCTGGATGGCAATAGCTGGTACTGTCCTGTCTCGTCGAATCCAATGAATACATGCACAGAGACTGTCTTGACGGGTCGGAGGAAGAAAGGCCCTCTCTAGGGTAGAATTGAGACAAGCTCCAATGAAATCGATCACCTGCGCGGGAACAAGGGACGATTTTTCGTGATTAATGCAAAGTCCAAGATCGTCCAATAGAGCACAATTGCTCTATTGTGTGGACCACTGAGAGAAGTCTATCCCTAGTCTGGGAAACAATAAGCCAGTCATCCAGATAAGGATATACTTGGACACCCTGAAGCCGCAGATATGCACACACTGGAGCCATGCACTTCGTGAAGACTCTCAGAGCACTGGCCAGTCCGAATGGAAGGACATTGAATTCAAATATGTCGGATACAACAGTGAAACGTAAAAGGCGACTGTGACAAGGATGAATTGAGATGTGAAAATAAGCATCCTTTAAGTCCAGTGAGGCGAACCAATCCTCTCTCCTCAGCAACGGAAGGATATTTTAAAGAGTGGTCATCTGAAATTTCTTAGGTTTGATAAACCTATTAACATTTCGTAAGTCCAGGATAGGACGGAGACCACCAACCCACTTAGGGACCGTAAAATATCTCAAATAGAATCCATGGAGTCCCTCAGAACGAGAGAGCTGTATGATGGATAAAACCCACTGATCAGATGTGATGGACTCCCAAATGGGGAGTCGGCTTTTGAGCCGGTCCCCAAAAGGGAGAGGGAAAGGTAGGAATTGGAGAGATGGAAAGGTTCACCGGGCCCGTCAGCGTTGATGCTTATCGTTGTCAAAATGTTGATGACCCTGAGAGAAGCACTGCTGCGGCTGCTGCTTTCTGCGCTGCTGGTACTGTCGTGGTTGGAATTGCTGGCGGTACGATGGGCGGGACCAGGACCACATACGCCTTTGCTGAGTTGGGATCTCCATACGATGAGCTGTCATTCACGACTCATGAATCAACTTAAGCTTGTGGTCCATCCTGGCGTGGAAGAGTCCCGTCCCATCGAATGGCATTTCCTCGATTCTCCGCTTCATCTCCTCCAGGAAATTGCAGCTCCTCAGCCAAGCGTGCCACCAGAGGGAGATGGCACTGACCAGGGCGCTGGAGTCAGTGCCTACATGATGCCGTGCAGTCAAAAGTTGTTGCATGGCCACTTGCTTTGCCTCTTTTATAAATACTTTGGCCAAGTCCGCTTGGTGGTCAGGCAGGGAGGAGGCGATGTTCTCCAGCTTCTGCATGATAAAGAATTGGTATTGTGCAAGCGTTGCCTCGTATTTCAATATGTGGAGGCCGAGTCCAGAGGCTGCATAGACTCGGCATGCTAGCATATCGATCTTCCTGGCCTCCTTGTCACAAGGAGCTGTGTGGCCCCTCGATTCCCTGCCCTGGGACGACTCAATCACCACCAAGTTCAGTTTCAGATGATGTAGGAGGAATGGAATATCCTCCTCCTGAACCTGGTACATTGCCTCATATTGACGAGACATGGCCTGCAGCTGAGCTGGTAGATCCCAGGGCTGAACCATCGCTTGGCGAAGCATGGTTATAAGGGGCAATACGATGGCTGCTGATTGCTCACCCATGATGATGTTGTAGAACTTATTGGTGCTGGGACCGGGGTGATGTTGTGCCTCAATCTCCAGCGACTGAACAAGCCTAGACATGAGTTCCCCGAAAGTAATGTGGGGCTTATCTGGGGACCCTGGGCCCTGAGAAGTAATGGCCACATCAGGGGAGGTAAAGTCTACCTCCGACTCATCTGAGTCATCCTCATAGTCGTAGTGCTCGCTGGATGATGAATTCCCCGATGAAGTGGGGTGCCTCTGTTCCCCATGGCCAGATGTGGACGGTACCTCCCTCGGGACCGATAGCAATGGACAGTCTCCTGCCAACGGGAAATAGCCAAATGAGTGGTATTCACCCCAGCCCGTGAAGCCTCTGTTAGCCAGGTTGGTCCCAGTCTTCAGCATGCCTGTCAGCGGAGCGGCTTCGGTGTCGAGGTGGCGAAAAGGACTCCGTTGCTGGACCAGATGGAGGCATCGGGGTTGGTGAGCGGGCTTTAGGTGGGGAGTCACAGATTTCCCCATCTGAGATAGACTCCCACATCGGCGCCTCAGACCGTTGAGGGGACGCACTCTCAGCCCTCATGATGCATCTGGGAGATCCCGGCAGAGTAACCTGCATGGTCGATTGCAGGGCCGGTCCCAATGGGGTTGGGACCGTAGCAGCCGCCGGTACTGAGAGACCAGTCGAACCCGAACCATGATGTTTAGAGTGGTTGGGCTTCTTCCCCTTGTGAGCCAGCTTGTCCGCCTTGTCCTTCTTCGCCTTTTTATGGCTGGAGAACTTACCAGAGCTGCTATGCTTTCTCTTCTCCCGTTGCTTAGTAGGGGGAGAAGGAAGCTGTTGGGCCCCCATCGAGGAAGTGCCTTCATCCGAAGGATGCGGTGGAGGCACAGCAGAGGCTGAGGCAGGGCGCTGAGGAGGCGCGGCCGAAGCAGAGCCAGCCTTTGAGACCAACTGGTCTGACTGCATCAGGGCCTGGTCCCAGAGCAGTTTATGGATACAATTCTCCTGGTTCTTCCTGGCCTGCTTGGTGAAGGCCAAGCAGTGGCCACACTTGTCCATTCTATGCCCCTTGCCAATGCAGAGAAGGCACAGATCGTGCGGGTCCGCGGGGGACATCTTGGAACTGCACTCAGCACATTTGCGAAAGGCTGCTCGCTGCATCATCGCAAAAAAGAAAGGAATAGATAGTGCAGAGGGAATAGATAATATTTTTGGTTTTTTTTTTTTTTTTAGAGAGAACAAGAGAAGAGAAAGCTTCGTAACAAGGGAGAAACAACTTGGAAATACCAGCGAAGGAACTTGGAAATATAAGAGAAAAATCAACGAGGTTAAGTAGCAAGGGAAATAGTCAATGCGAGAGTGAACAGGCACGAGGCACAGTGAACGGTGGTCACAAAAGACTGAGAAAATGGCAGACACTCCGCTCTATATATAGTACTGAGGGGGAGGGGAGGGGAGTTTTCCCGCCAAAAACGGTTAGCTTTCTAATCTTTCCGGCCCTAGGCACTGCGCAGGTGCAGCACCCATATGTGTGATGCACAGAGGCCACGACGAAGAACATTAATTGCACTAATAGAATGGCACACTTTGATATTATCCAATGTTTATTAATTTTTACATTAATTATTTTTAATTTTTATATGTTACCCTCTTTGGGAACAATACAGAAATGTGATCAAGAAAATAAATGGAGCATAACTGTTTTGCGAAAGCAAGTATTTTACAAGCCTAGATGTCTCCAACCTGGTGCCCTTTTGACTAGTTCCCAGGATTCCTGACCACTGGCTATACTGGCTGGAGCAGATGGTTGCTGAGTCCAAAGCATCTTTGGGAAATCAGGTGTAGAAAGGCTGCACTAGTTTGGGATCATTCAAGTTATGAATGATATAAATGTTGGCAGTACTAAGCAGCTGTAAAACAATTTCTTTGAGAGACTTAATTTAGATCCTGTATGAAATAGAGGTGCAGAGTCTTAAATTACAACATTACAGACTTACATTGGGGAAATAAGTTTGCCTAATCCCATTTCACCAAATGTTAATGATTCACACCTGAAAAAGCACAGGTGTGCAATTGTGACACATTTATTTCAATGCTAATGACATACAAAAATAAGTTAACCTGTGTTCTCAAAACTGTATTTTATTTAAGATTTTTACCTCTCCCAAAGAGAAATAGTGACGTGGAATTTGGGAATCGGGATAAACATTCTCAAGGTACCATGAAAAAGGCTTGCACTGTATCTTGTGTCTTAGTCCGAGTCGTGAGGATATGTCTCCATAATCTACCTTTGTAACTCCTATAGAAAATTGTATAATATGGTTAGTTACAGAACTTTGGTGGAATGTAAATATAGTAATGGATTCCTTGTCCAAAAATTATATTGTTTAAGAAGAGCCACATTTACACATACTATTTATTTTAATGTATATATTTTAAAATGTTATTTAACTTATTTGTTGTAAGCTGCCCCGAGGCTTCAGTGAATGGGGCGGCATAAAAATGTTTTAATAAATAAATAAAAATAAAATACATCTGAGAACGTGCATTTAAGACCTACAGTGCATATCTCACTATCACAAGAAAGACTTAAACAAAACAGAGGTTTGTTTTCAAAAAGCAGCTTTGTCAGATATCTCAGGGCTATATCAAATTTATTATATCCAGAGTAGTTTCTATAAAAATGTTTATAAAACTGCCAATAAAAATCTAATCTAAAATAGGAATAGCCTGAAAAATCCCAAGAAAACAGTGGACAAGCCAGTAGATTTAGTATAAACTTTGAATTTTGTCAGCTAAGAATGCCATTATATTGAGGCTCCATAACAGCACAAGTATCCTCTGACTGACACAAAGATGCTCATGAAACAATGTGGTGACACAATACCTCTCTACCAACAGGAAGTTGTACATATACGTATCTTTCTGTATCATTCAGCAGATGCACACACAGTTCAGATGCAATATAAGTCCCATTCAGTGAGTATGCATAACTGTTGAAACCAAGATTTTTCAAAGGAATGTTTGTAGCAAAAACAACAATGACATTTTCATAGACATTCCCTTCCAATATAGCACAACCTCTCAGTCAGTGTCTTCTTCATCAACTCAGAAGAAAAATTCTGTAAGATTGTTATTTCAGAAAATGTTGTTGATAGCTTCAACTCCCCTGTCACAATCATGACACTTTGGATTTTTTTAGCCACAATGCACCCAACAAGCATGTCATTTATAGAGGATGTCCCTATGTATAATTAAGTACTTTTTTTTTCAAACCATGATAGGGGAGGGGAAGGGTTGGAGGAAAATCTTTTCCAGGGACTAGACATTTTGAGGCAAAGGTTATAGTTTATGAATGCATGTGCACCATTACTTTAAAATAGTGCTGACAATGCTTCCTCTAAAGCAGTAGCTGCCTACCCGCAACATACAGACTAGCTGTAGCAGCTTAGTTATGAAAGACTAAAATCAGAATAGCACAGACTACACCAGTCATAGCGCTTACTCAAGAAAAAAACATTCTCCCAAGTAAACTATTCACTTTGGATTCCAACAGAAGCATGCACCACTTTTGGCCAAATCTTTGATCCCTTCTAGGAAATTATGTGGTCTCCAAAGCAAAGCAGGGTTCCTCCAAACTAACCAGAACCAAATCTGAACCTGTCCAAAGTTCCATGAATGATCGTGCTTCAGTGGACTACAAAAAGTCACTGTGTCAGCAAATATTTTCTAGTTTAATTTCATTTTCCCATATATGGAAAATGCCAGTGTGCCAAGCAGTAGGAAGGAGAAATGAGTGACTGACAAGTCTATCTTGTAATCAAAAGGAACAGTCTACTAAACTGTTCCCAAATCCCTGGGAGAGTAAAGTTGACTCCTATATAATGCTGTGTTCTAGTTCTGCTGTGTGCACTGAGCAGCCATGAATACAGAAGTTGAGGAAGAAAGGAGAGAAAGGGGAGTTATATGTACTATCCTACCAAACCTAACTTAGTTGGGCGTCAGTATACATCCCCAGACAATGCTTCAAAAGGCAGAATAGACAACACTGAAGATAATTCTCTCCACTTTTGGCTGAACAACATGCTCTACATATTTAGCTAGAACTCCCCTGGAGGGTCAATAATCCCAGCAAGCAGGCCCGGCAATGTGTGGACCAGAACTACCAGGGTATGGAGGATGGCAAGAAGTTCACTTAAGAGGATCTCAAGCAAAAGGCTGAAAAAAACCCCCTCTGCTCAAGAGACTGGAGGAGCTGCTGCTGCTAACTCAACTAAGAGCAATACTGTGTTAGCAGAAGGCAGATTATATGTTCACCCTAACGGTTTGAAAAACTATTTTATACAGGGAAAAGCTTTGCTCACCTGGGGAAATTATGTAGAAGAAGTTCTTGAATTCATCCATCCAAACTTCTGCAAGTCGTCTATTATTTTTATTAATAATCTGCCCTGTGCCTCCTGGGAAAGTATAAGGAGTCGCTTTTCGAAAAACATGTCCAACATGTGAACAGGTTACAATTTCCAAAGTCCCCCCGCACTGCCAAATCTGAAAAAGTCAAAAGATCAACATAAAAAAAGTATTTTTTATTCAAAAATTGTTCAGGACCATACCTGATGAGTGTTCAAGCTAAAGTTAAATATGTAGAAGACCTGCATTAGGATTACACAAATTATATACTTCACACTTGACCTTAAGATACTGCCCTTTGCTACTATCCACAGAACTGTCTCTAGATATCCTGCTCTTCATCCATTGGTGACATTGGGTTCTAACCAAATACTAAGATCATTTTATTTCAACAAGCCTGATGCTTGTAAAATGGGAAATTGTGTATTTACCAATACTGTAAGGCATCTGCACAAAGGCTTGAAGCACCTAAACTGCATCAAACTCATGCAGAACAGTGGCCATTATTTAACTGTTGGCCAAGTGAAGCAGCATGATGGTCTCATTTAATCATTCCTCTATCATTCAGACATTGGCATGTCATTAGATCCTAGAGATTTAAAATGAAATTAAACTGCTGAAGGATCCCACATGTGTGTGTGTGCATGTTTGTGGGTGTGTGTTTATCTGCCATCTGGTAATATGAAACAGTTGTTTATCCTGGGATTTATCTTTTGTATCTACTACAAAATACAGTACAATGCGCAGAATTAAAAGGAAGCTTACCCTGAATGAAATCTCTAGGTTTTCGCCACCCCATATATCCATTCCAGCATCATATGTCCCAATCTCTTGAAAATAGTCCCTGTCTATGGAAAAAAGGCCTCCTGCCATTGTAGGTGTCCTGAGAGAAGGTAAAAATGTCTCAGATTTAAATCTTTCATTTATCACTCCTACTTAATAGGGAACACAGGTGGTCAGTAAGCACCAACAAAAATGAAGCCAAACAGGGCCAGTAAAAAAGTAAAATGAGGTACCAACATGCTTAGGGAACCCAAATGTATACAGAAGTACAGCAAAAATATGCTGCAATACTCTCTTGCCAGGCCCATTTATATTACTCTTAGCCAGCCTTCCCCAACTTGGTGCTCTTCATATGTGCTGGACTACAACTCCCAAAGTGCTCCACCTAGCCATAGAGCACACTGAGAGTTGTAGTGCAAGCACCTGGAAAGCATAAAGTTGGGAAAAGCTAGTCTAAACTATAAAGCAGACAGCGGTACCTCGGCTCATGAATGCCTCAGTTCACGACCAAGTCGGGTTGCAAACAAAAATTTCATAAAAATTTTGACTCAGGTCATGAATTCTGCATTGGGTGGTGACCTCAATCGCAGCCATCTCCCCACTGTCCCAAGTGGGGAGATGGCCACGATCATGCTGGGGGTGGGGAGGGGAGATGGCCAAGATCACGTCTGTCTTACCTGCATGAGTGCACCCGTGATTGTGCTCGTCTTTCCTGCATGAGCACAACTGAGATCTTGGCCATTTCCCCCCCCAGCACAATCGCACCCATCTCCCCCCACAAGCACACCCACTTTCGTACCCATCTCTACCCTGAGTGCGCCTGCGTCCACGCCTGTCTCTCTCCCCCAGCATGCCCACGTTCGTGCCCATCTCTCCCCCTCTGAGAGTGTTCACAATTGCGCCCGTCTCTTTCCTTTCAGTGTGCCAGGATGACGGGCACGTGTAGGGATGACGGGCGTGATCGTGGTTGTGCTGGGGGGGTGCAGGGAGATGGCCACGCTCGTGCTCAGGGTTGGTGGCGGGGAGATGGCCGCAATCTTTGCTGTTGTCACTTTGCTTCACATTTTTCTGATTAAAAAAATAGTTACAGAATGGATTAACCTTATTTACATTGAATTTTATGGGGAAATGTAACTTGGCTCATGACCAATTTGGGTCACAACCAGAGTCCTGGAACGGATTACGTTCATGAGCCAAGGTACCACTGTACTTAAAATTTAGCTAAAGCAGTATGAATTGATTTTAATTTCTTCAATGAAGAGGTCAGGGTTAGGGTCAACTCTCAGTGATACATAGTCAGTGTATGTTAAAGCTGCCTAGGTTTAAATGTTGACAAAGCGACTAATGTATAGCAAGGGGGAAATAATTTTTTGAAATGCCTTATTACCTACCGAAAATTACTACTAATTTAGCATCATGTGTTTCTGGTGCACTGAATTCAGAAAAAGTAGTTATGGTTCTAATAGGGTATAGCACAGCAACTGAAATTTTAAGGCACCATGTTGCAGGTTCAAACAAACTTGTTATGGCCTTAAGCAAGGCACTATTCCCTTAACCTTCCATACAGATAGCTTGTAATACACTACAGGAATCATGGTAAGTGTTTTGAACCTTCTGTGTGGCAAATGGAGCCCCCACATCCACCTCTCACTCTCTGTAATAGCCTAGTGGGCACTGAAGATGAAAGCATCAGGGGTAGGAAAGGTAGGCTCCTACGGCTGGCACCTCAAATGTGATGCCCATGGCACAAATGTGCTTGCAGACAGTTCTCTAGATGCCTACCTGGCTCCCTATTTATAAAATAAACATTTTATTTATTTTTAAAATATTTTTGTTGCTTAATGTTGAAAAGCAAAGCTATCTTAATTTGGGTTCAAAAGAGTGGTGTTGTGTTTGTTGCTCAGAGCACATCTCTGCCTTGTACTTCGGTTCCTGGGCAAGTTATTCTAAGTCTCAATGGACAATGTTTTGTGAGCAGCCTTGAGCAAGATTCCCCACTCAATCAGTGGTGGCTATTCTGTGAATGTGCTCACAGCACTCCTTCAACGTTCAAACTGCCATTTTGCATATGAGTGAAATTAGGAATAATGGGTATAGATTTGCTAAATCTAATAACATCCAGAAATGGAAGAAGTCCACTAATAATTCTGCAAGCCCAAAAAGGCTTTGGGCTTACTTCTCTAGAATGTCCCTTGTACCGTTCTGAGTCTGCTGACTCTTTCAAAAGCAATTTGAAAAGAACACCACTACAAAGTAAGAACTCCATTAGGTATGTTCCAGTCACTGGGCATTCCTAAAGGAGCTCTTCTGATCCTGTACCATGTGGGCTGGAGTATGGGATAAAACCTGTTATGTTTAATATTGTTGTTTGACTCTTTGCTGCCTCAGACATTCTCTTTCCAGTTAATTGTTGCTGCGCCTAGTAACATAGGAATTAATAATAACCAACAAGGTTGAATAGTAGATGCTTGAACAGAAACAATAGATGGATATACATGAAAGCATAATCAGATTATGATGATCAGCTTCCTTTACCTGACTGGAAGGGTTCTGTCACCTTTCCTTCGGTCCATTTCTCTTTGAGGAACAGGATACCATCGGAAATTTAACTTCCAATTGAATCCACCATAAGTCATATCAGAGCCTGCCATATATTCAAATGTATCATCACTGATTACATCAATGATAGGACAAACTACTGTTCTCCTAAAGAAAGAAACAGCATATACTGTTATGGAATGAAGGTAACAACAATATACCGAATTGTGTAACACAAAACAACAGTGATTCTTACATGCACCTATCAGCACCAAACAAGAACAACATTGCAACGTAACATATCAAAAAGAGACATACAGGATCAGACCAAGGGTCCATCTTGTCCATCATTCTGTTCACAGAATTTCCAACCCATAGGAAACCCTATGACATGAATGCAGCAGGAGCCTCCTACTCATGTTTTTCTACAACTAGTATACACAGTCATACTCTGATACTGGAGGTAGCATACAGCCATAAGGGCTACTAGCCATCAATAGTCTTCCCTTCCATGAATCTGTGCAATCCCCTTTTAAAGACATCCAAATTAGTAGCCAGCACTACATCTTGAGGAAATGAATTCCAAAGTTGAACTACACACTCTGTGAAGAAGTTCTTTTATCGGTCTGGAATCTCACACCAATCAGCTTCATGGAATGACCCCGTGTTCTTGCATAATGGGAGAGGGGGAAAGACATGTCTGTCTGTCTGTCTTTGCCCTTGTATGCCACTTTTGCACTAGGTGGTTTACATCAATAATCAAAAACATAGTTCTTAAAAACAAATAAAGCATAATAAAAAAACCACAGAATCCATTTAAAATAATATAGTGAATTAAAAGAACAGCTATACATACTGTAACATTAAATACATTAAACTTGGTTCTTAAAACGACTGGTAAATGTTTTTGCTTAGCACTGGAAAGTAAATAATTTTATTATTTTAGAGCCAGGCAAATCTCCCTTTACTAATCTTTTCCCTAAGCTAAACAATGCCAAGTGTTGTAACTTGTTCTCATTGTAACCCTAACCCTTGATCATTTTCCTTGCTCTTTTCTTTTGCCAACCTTACAGTATCCCTTTTTAGCTAAAATGATCAGAATGGTACACAGTATTCAAAATGCAGTTGTACCACAGATTTGTATAAAGGGAATACGAGACTGGAAGTTTTATTTCCATGATTATATATAATGGAAGAGTTTGCCTTCTTTACAGCAGCACTGGTTGATATTTTAGTCCAACCCATCGCAACCCCATAGACAACATTCCTCCAGGCTCTCCTGTCCACCACCATCCCCCGGAGTCCACTTAAGCTCACACCAACTGCTTCAGTGACTCCATCTAGCCACCTCATCCTCTGCGGTCCCCTTCTTCTTTTGCCATCTATTGTTCTCAGCCTTAGGCTCTTCTCCACGGAGTCCTTCCTTCTCATTAGGTGGCCAAAGTATTTGAGTTTCATCTTCAGTATCTGGCCTTCCAAGGAGCAGTCAGGGTTGATCTCCTCTAGGACTGACCGGTTTGATCACCTTGTGGTCCAAGGGACTCGCAGGAGTCTCCTCCAGCACCACAATCCAAAGGCCTCAATCCTTTGGGGCTCAGCCTTCCTTATGGTCCAGCTTTCACAGCCATACATTGCAACTGGGAAAACCATAGCCTTGACTATACGCACTTTTGTTGACAGGGTGATGTCTCTGCTTTTTACTATGCTGTTTAGACTTCCCATAGCTTTCCTCCCCAGGAGCAAGCGTCTTTTAATTTCTTGGCTGCAGTCCCCGTATGTGGTGATCTTAGAGCCCAGGAAAATAAAATCTGTCACTACCTCCATTTCTTCCCCATCTATTTGCCAGGAAGTGAGAGGACCAGATGCCATGATCTTGTTTTTCTTAATGTTGAGTTTCAAGCCAACTTTTGCACTCTCCTCCTTTTAAAGAGAGGCTGTTTAGTTCCTCTTCACTTTCTGCCATTAGAGTGGTATCATCTGCCTATCTGAGGCTGTTGGTATTTCTCCCAGCAATCTTAATTCCAACTGGTGTTTCATCTAGCTCCACCTTTCTCATGATGTGTTCTGCATATAAGTTAAACTGTTGTAAGCCGCCCCGAGGCTTTGTTGCGATGGGAGCAGCATAAACATTTTTTAAATAAATAAATAAATAAGGCAGGGCGACAGTATACAGCCTTGCCAAACTCCTTTCTCAATTTTGAACCAATCAGTGGTTCTGCGTCCAGTTCTCACGGTTGCTTCTTGATCTGCATATAGGTTTCTGAAGCAACAAATTAGATAGTCTGGTACTCCCATCTTTTTAAGAACCTGCCACAATTTGTTGTGTTCCACACAATCAAAGCTTTAGCGTAGTCAATGAAGCAGAAGTAGATGTTTTTCTGCAACTCCCTAGCTTTCTCCATGATCCAGCATATGTTGGCAATTTGATCTTTAGTTCCTCTCCCTCTTTGAAATCTTGCCTGTACTTCTGGTAGTTCTCGGTCCACATATTGCTGGAGCCTAGCTTGTAGGATTTTGAGCATGACTTTGCTAGCATGTGAAATGAGTGCAATGGTGTGGTAGTTTGAACATTCTTTGGCATTGCCCTTCTTTGGGATCGGAATGTAAACTGACCTTTTCCAATCCTGTGGCCACTGTTGAGTTTTCCAAATTTGCTAGCATATTGAGTGTAGCACTTTTACTGCATCATCTTTTAAGATTTTGAATAGCTCAGCTGGAATACTGTCACCTCCACTAGTTTTGTTGTTGCTCAGACTTCCTAAGGCCCATTAGGCTTCACATTCCAGGATGCCTGGCTTGAGGTCAGTGACCACCCCATCGTGGTTATCAGGGACTTTATGCTCTTTCTTGTATAGTTCCTCAGTGTAATCTTGCCACCTCTTCTTAATCTCTTCTGCCTCTGTTAGGTCCCTGCCATTTTGGTCCTTTATCATGCCCATCTTTGCATGAAATGTTCCCTTCATATCTCCAATTTTCTTGAAGAGATCTCTGGTCCTCCCTATTCTACTGTTTTCTTCTATTTCTATACACTGTTCATTTAAGAAGGCATTCTTATCTCTTCCAGCTATTCTCTGGAATTCTGCATTCAATTGGGAGCATCTTTCTCTTTCTCCCTTGCCTTTCACTTCTCTTCTTTCCTCAGCTATTTGTCAGGCTTCCTCAGACAGCCATTTTGCTTTCTTGCATTTCTTTTTCTTTGGGATGGTTTTAGTTGCTACCTCTTGTACAATGTTGTGAACCTCCGTCCACAGTTCTTCAGGCACTCTATCAGATCTAATTCCTTAAATCTATTTGTCACCTCTACTGTATATTCAACAAGGATATGATTTAGGTCATACCTGAGTGGCCTAGTATTTTTCCCTACTTTCTTCAATTTAAGCCTAACTTTTGCAACAAGAAGCTCATGATCTGAGCCACAGTTAGCTCCTGATCATGTTTTTACTGACTGCATAGAGCTTCTCCATCTTTGGCTGCAGAGCTCATAGTCAATCTGGTTTCTGTGTTGACCATCTGCTGATGTCCATGTGTAGAGTCGTCGGAAAAGAGTGTTTGCTATGACCATCGTATTCTCTTGACAAAATTTTAGCAGTCTGTACCTGCTTCATTTTGTACTCCAAGGCCAAACTTGCCTGTTATGCTGGTTATCTTTTGGTTTCCTAGTTTAGCATTCCAATCCCCCATGATGATAAGGACATCATTTTTTTGCTGTTAATTCTAGAAAGTGTTGTAGGCCTTCATAGAACTGGTCAACTTCAGCCTGTTCAGCACCAGTGGTTGGGGCATAGACTTGGACTATTGTGATGCTGAATGGTTTTCCTTGGATTTGAACCGAAATCATTCTGTCATTTTGGAGGTTGTATCCCAGTACTGCTTTTCCTACTCTTTTATTGACAATGAAGGCTACTCCATTTCTTCTGAGGGATTCTTGCCCCAGTAGTATACCTGATGGTCATCTGAATTAAATTCATCCATTCTTGTCCATTTTAGTTCACTGATTCCTAAGATATCGATGTTCAGTCTTGTTATCTCTTGTTTGACCACATCCAGTTTGCCTTGATTCATGGATCATACATTCCAGGTTCCTATGGAGTATAGATCTTTGCAGCATCGGACTTTCCTTTGACCACCAGATACATCTGCAACTGAGTGTCCTTTCAGCTTTGACCCAGTCGCTTCATTCTTTCTGGCACTACTAGTACTAGCCCTCCGCTCTTCCCCAGTAGCATATTGGATACCTTCCGACCTGAGGGGCTCATCTTCCGGCGTCATATCTTTTTGCCTTTTGGTACTGTCCATGGGGTTTTCATGGTAAAGATACTGGAGTGGGTTGCCATTTCCTTCTCCAGTGGATCATGTTTGGTCAGAGCTCTGCTATGACTTGTCTTTGGTGGCCTTGCACAGCATAGCTCATAGCTTCATTGAACTATGGAAGCTCCTTCGCCACGACAAGGCAGTGATCCATGAAGGAGCCCCCCCCCCCCATATAATCCCCTAATTTTTTTGGTCAATCTCTGTTAGCTCAATTTTTAGCAATTTATACTTGAACTTGGGATTTTTTGCCCCAGTGTGCATCACTTTACACTTGCTTACACTGAACTGCTTTTGCCTTTTTGATGCCCATTTTCCTACTTTGGAAAGATCCAATGTATTTTCCCATAAGCATGCACCATTGAATATACTGGGATTTATATCTGGGTAAATATGCATGATTGCATTGCAAGCTAATGCACACTTTTTGTGTTCTCCAAGTTAAAATTATGTTGACACAAAGAGGACCAAATGCACAGCTGCTCCTTCAAAACACTATGTCAGACTCAATTAGATTCAAGGGGAATAAGAGGAAACATAATGGAGGTGTTTAAAATAATGAATAATGTGATTAAAGTAGAGAGGGAGACGTATTTCTCCCTCTCCCATAACACTTGAACCTGTGTTCATCTCATAAAACTGATCGGTGAGAGGTTTAGGACAGATAAAAGGAAGTATTTCTTTACATAGCATACAGTTAAACTATGGAATTCACTGTCATGGAAAGTGGCAATACCCACCAATGTGGGTGGTTTTAAAAGGGGTTGGGGTTTGGGTTCCATGGGGAGAAGGCTATTAGTGACCACCCTTGGTACCCTTGGTAGCTATGTGCTACTTCCTTTACCAGAGGTGGCATGCCTGCAGACACCAGCTGCTGAGGAACTTGGGGAGGAGGAGGTCTTTCACCCATCCTGTCTGAGGGATCCTGTGGGCAGCCGGATTGCAATCAAGTGTACAAAGTGCTGGACTAGATGGACATTTCTTCTGTCCTTTTGCTCAAGGCTCATCAACTATTCTCTAAACTTTCTACTATTCTATGGATCTGAAACCTGGAATAACTCTGTGAGTTCTAAGCCAGTAGAAAATATACTGTGAAGCCCCATCTACTGTAATGCTTCCTTTCCCTTCACTGTGTTCTGAATAAGTTACTTTGTAATATGCAACAGTCAGTCTTAAATATAACATTCCAAAGTGACAGGCGCGATCTTGGTCGTGCTGGGGGGACGGGGAGATGGCCGCGCTTGTGCTTGGGATGGGGGGGGGGGGGATGGCCGCGATCTTTGTTGTTGTCACTTTGCTTCACATTTTTCTGATTTAAAAAAATGGTTACAGAACGGATTAACCTTATTT